GGGGAGGAACAAGTTGTTAAGGAGGTTGCGGCAGTGCTGAGGGAGGAAGCTTGTCGAGTAGATAGTGAAGAGTCTTGCTGCTTAAGTGGGTAGCCACGGGCATTCGTAAAAGCCATTTGGAATGAATGAAGTAGAAAGCTTGCGGGCACTCGGGTAATTTGTTAGTGCCCGTGCGTCTTGCAAGTGTTCATGACATTTGGCTAGAAATGCGTTGGCAGAGGAACAGCCCACGCAGGCACGCTCCTTTGTTGGGAGACGTGAACGGGTCGGACATGCGTAGACGTATCCGAGCTGTCCTGTCTTCCAACATCCTCTTGAGAATCTCAAATTTCCCCCGTTTTTGATATTTTTTCGGTTGGATCAAGAGACACAGCCTCCTTTGCAAAACCCCCGACCTCTCCAACCGCAACAGCCACGGCTCCCGTCTCCCACCCCCTCACGCCATGCCAGAACAGGCAGCCGTCCCCGACCAAGAAGCCTCCCCGCCCGATGCCGCAGAGAAGGGCAACGTTGAGCAATTGACTGCCACCGAAAGCCTCGTGGCAGAAGAACCACCGCATGCCCACGCGGCTACGTCCGAGGACCCCGCGATCACTCCCATTATAGCCGCATCCTCCCATCCGCCCGAAGTCGCCTCCAACGTAAAGGGCGTGTCTGCAGACATCTCGCTCGACCGTGGCCCCCCCCTCGACGTTGACGTCTCCTCCGACCCGGATCACGCGCGCGCATCCCAGCCGCTCCCGGGGCCACATCGCCTTCCGGACATCGATCGCGACCCCGACGCGATCCCGGCCAAGGAGGACGCCATCGATGTCGACGGGATGGAGGATAGCTTCGACGAGGCCGACGACGATGACGTGGCCGACGTTGTCGACGAAGACATCGATGAGGACGAGGCGACCAGCGCGAGTGAACACGAGGATGGGAAGAGGAGAGATGCAATTGATTTAACGGAAAGTGTCGAGGGAACCCCGCCGGCGAAGAGACGCGACATGGGGGATGTGGAGGAGCACTCCGAGGTGGAAGAGGAGGTGCACGAGGAGGACAGTGAGCACGAGGATGCCGAAGAGCATGAGGACGGCTTGCACACCCCGTCAGATGGGGGGCACGGCGAGGATGACGCCGCTAGCTCGTATGCGGACGCCGCGGATGTGGCAGAGGGGGAGGTTGACATTGACGAGCATGAGGCAGACAAGGCTAGCGGTGAGGGCGAAGACCCCGCAGAAGCTGATGCTGATGCTGATGCTGATGCTGATGCTGATGCTGATGTTGATGCTGATGCTGATGCTGATGCTGATGTTGATGCTGATGCTGATGCTGATGCTGATGCTGATGTTGATGCTGATGCTGATGCTGATGCTGATGCTGATGCTGATGCTGATGCTGATGCTGATGCTGAGGCAGATAATGATGCACAGAGCAATCTCTTCAGCAATCAAGCCGCAGTACAAGCTGAATTTGAAGTGGAAACCGCTGTTCAATCTGATTCCGTTGATGAACTTGCAAAGACCGCCGTGGATACCGGCGCAAAAGAAGAGCGTCTGTTAAGAATTGCGGCTGATGGCGGCGCCGCGAAAGAACCACGTGAGGACGACATCGCAGAGGGAAAATCGAAGCCAGAGATACGCGCAATTATCGAAGCAAAAACAGTGCCGGGAATTGCGATGGATTCGGGCGTTGAAAAGGAAGCACATGAGGATGACGCCCGAGAAAGGGAATTGGAAATGATAGTTGAGATTTCGGAGGACGAAACTGCAAAGCAACGGAGTGAAAGGTTCGATGACAGCGTGCACAAAGACGAGGAGCACGAGGACATGCAAGAAAGCCCCGCAAAGCCTTCTTCTCCCGTTGCACCCGGCCCCGATGACGACGCAATGTCAGAGGAACATGAGGAAGGAGACGAGATTTCAGAAGAAGATCCTGATATGATGGTAGACGGGGCTACAGAGTCCGAAGCACCGAAGAGCGGCGATCAAACCCCTCAGAGCATCGCAGAGATGGACGCTGTGCCAAGCCAGGTTTTTCCTTCTACGGCTGCGCTAGCGGGGGATAACCACGTCGCAGAAATTCCAGTGCACCCCAAGGAGACAAGCGTGGTAACATCTCTACCAAGCTACGCCGTTGAGAAGGAATCTCATACTGATATGATGGAAGAAGATGGGCAGAAGAAAGATCCTGCCAATGGTGATGATGCTGATGTTCAGATGACGAAAGAATCAGAGGACCAACCGGATGTGCAAGTTGAGGAACTGAAGACTGTACCTAAGGCGATAGTCCCTATTGTTCGTTCACAGACAACGACTGGCGATGCTACCGCGAGTCCAGATATTCCGATGACATCCAACGAGGATGTCCGAACAGGGGGCGATACCGAAGGAGGTATGCAAGACGCGTCAGAAGGTCCAGATGTCGTCGAGCCAAGCGTGGATCCGACGAAGGGTGGGGACACGTCAACAATCGAGGAAGCAATAACGACGGAAGCTGACAGTGATCTCAATGGGCAGCCCAAGGCTGTCTTTTCGATCCCAGAATCCTCAGTAGAACTTTCGCAAGTGTCTAAACAGACCAACCAAACTGGTGCAACAACTATTGTGCCAGTTAAATTTCCGGGACCAAATGCTCCCACATTCGCAAGCCCTAAAGTCGAAGCCGATACAAGTGCCAAAACCCCAGCTGACCTTTCTCAAGGCACAGGAAATAGTGCAGCTGTTCAGGAAAAAGCGACAGTATTTCCTGCCCCCAGCGAGCCACAAGTAGCAATAGCTGAAAAGATTTTGGATTCTGAACAGAAAGCGGCCGATACTAAATCCGACGAGCAGGCTGCTCTTAGTGTGCCGCTCGTGAAACCTGAATCAAAACCAGCAACGACGGTCCCTGGCCAAGCAACGGGTCCGGAAATCAACGCGACAGCGACCATCCCTCCCGACCTTAAAACCATCACCCCGACAGTGAAAAGTATGGAAAAGAATTCATCTCCGTTTCATGCTTCGAAGTCACTCTCCAGTTCTTCGACTTTCACGACCCCACTGTTTGGCATCCAGCCACCGAACCGGACTGGGCCAGTTTCGTTTTCGTCACCCCCAAGTTTTCATCAATCGAATCTCAGTCCGACTGCAACTCCGTTTGTTCCGGCTACGCTTGATGCAAGCAAGGCCCCGCCTGCTCCCGTTGATCCACCCAGTCTCGGAACTGTCAAAGTGCCACAAAAGCCGGAACAATCTACCGTTGCGCAAGTCAAGGTCCCGCCTCAAGACGTCGCCATGGCCGACGTCGTTCCTAAGCCTAAGGGTCAGGCTCCTGTAGACAAATCAAGCCAAGAAGCAAATAAGACCTTGGCACCCACACAAATGAAAGGTGTATCTCAAGCGAAAATGCCAAAGCCTGCTGTCAAGCCTGTGTTGAAGAGGCAAGCCGATGCTCAGCAGACATTGCGCCGTGTTCCCATCGAGGGAACAAGCGGAGGGATGTCGTACACCGTCGATAACGTCATGATAATTGTAAGGGAAGGCACATCGAAGCCAGTCCGTCGCTTTACGTTTTGTACAGTTGAAGCAAAGATCAGGCCAGATGGGGAATCGACTCTGGAGTTTTTTGAAGGTCGCGATGGTTCCAAGAGTTCTCTTGCAGAGCTTTCCTCAAAGAAAAATCGCGTCAGAATCAAAAAGGTGGTGAACAAACCATTCGTGTTTTCGGTCACGGTTTTGGGTCCGTCTGGACAGGAAAAAGGTAGCGATGTGGCAAAATACTTCATCCATCTACAAAAACATACTTTTGATGTGTTTTATGACGCATGTATGATGTACATCCTGGATGTAGTGAAAGAGAAACCCCGGCCGAAGACGGTAAGGTTTCAAGAGCCAACCCTACACCAGAAGACGGCTGCCGCTGCACCAAAACCGAACCCTACAGCTGCGAATCCAAATAACAAAGCTGGAGTGGCAGCTAATCCTAAAATCGTACCCTTAGATCAACGAAAGCTTCTTCTGTTAAAGATGGAAGCTTTGAAAAAGAAAAAAACCGGAAGAGGCTCGGAAGGATCCCCATCGCGTAATGTGAAGTCTGAGAGTTCTGGGAAACGTACTACATCCAAGCCGATTAGCACGCCCGGGCGCATGAAGATCAACCTTAGTACTGGTATTGCGGACAAGCAAGCGTCGAGCGCTCAGAAGCAAACAGCTCACAAAAAGACGGCCACAGTTGCCGAGCACAAGATCGGGGACGTACAGGCATCCCAAGGAACTGTCGGGCACGGCATGCAACAACACAATGTGAAACTGCAGCTGCTGGCACCCACTACAAGACCTGTTCCCTCGAGCCCGAAAAAGAGGCCTGCCTTCCGCTTAGAAGAACGAGGAGAGAGCTCCATGAAGAAAGCAAGGCTGGCCGTCCCGAAAAAAAGGCCCGTGGCTGGAGCACATGCCGAGGGGAGCGTGCAGTGGAAGCAGTTTCAACCCCAGTCTAGTCTGAAACGTACGCCACAGCCCCTGATGAACACCACCTTGGGGGCTAGCAAGATGAAGGCGTTGCAAGTACCGGGTGCATCGACACGGCCTGCCGTGGCGACCTCCAAACCGATTTCCGTTGTGATGCAACCAGCCCCTGCCATGACCGGCAGCGTGAATATTTCGTTAGAGGAAAAGGAGGCCTTCGAGCTAGATGGGAAGCGCTTGACGGACGTACTCGCCGCGATCAAGTCTGCCGTGAAATCTGCTGGAATTGGCGAGGCCCACAAGCCAGCATCCCTCTCGCGGTGCGAGCCGAAAAATGTGTCAGACTTTTTCGACAGACTGCACACGTTCCGGCCGTCGACGTGGCGCGGATTTGCTCGCGGACACGCGTTGAGTCCAGTGGAATGTGCAAGACACGGGTGGCACAATAGTGGCATTGACGAGCTGACTTCGAGCGAGGGCTCTGTAATTACCACCAAGTTTGAGACCTGTTTTGACTCGGCATCGATGAAAGCAGAGATAGAGCGCGTGCGAAAACTCGTCGTCGGAGGGGGGCACCGGTTGTTGTCCGGGTGGATCGGCGAAAGCTCCCCCTTTGAATTTGAATCGTTGGAAGGAAGCAAGCGGACATGCAACGCGGCGCAGCTCAAAACAAATGCCAAGCAGCTGGAAAGCACACGTGTGGTTGAAATTCTAGCCAACAGGGACTCTGACTCAGGTCTTTCGTCGAAGGATCTCTCGGCTGCCGACAAGTATGGGCGACTAGCGTGCTACAACTGGAAGGCACGAGGCAGCGAGGAGGATCTGGATTTGTACTGCGATTGGTGTGGGCGCAGCGTGTTGCTCACGCCGGAGGACATGGTCCGAAGCGGGGGGAAGGGGTGCGTTGAGTTTGACGTAGCGACGAGCCATTATGTTTTCTGCCCGTTCAGGGGGGAGGAGGGGAAGAGGAACGCGGAGGTGATGCGCATGAGCCTAGCCGTGGCAGTGGATGGGGTCAAAGCGGTTGGGGATGTGGAGATGGGTGATACTTGAATGGCGGCGGCGGGGTGAAGCCCAAAGAGCTTCGTGCCTTGGCGAAAGAGTGGGGACACTAGCAGCAAAGGTTGGTCGGTGGTCGCCACCGCGTGCTGCGCGGGTAGGGGGTAGGAGCGGAAACTTCGAGATAACAATAATACAGTAAACGAATACGACCACTGCGTGCAATAGCAAGCGAGAAGAAGATCTGAACGGTACCCTTTCTGACCGGGGCAATTTGGGAATCGGGGGCAATTTGGGAATTTTTAGTATTACTGTTGGAGGGGACAGTCTGCCGACGGCGGGTAGCCCCGAAAAACATCTAAATTTAATGTGGCTGTACTGTGGTCGCCGCTGGTGCGGCGGCGAATAAATAGAGGGCTCAAGTCCGGGGTCCATCTGAGGGTGTGTCTTAACAAGCGCTTGTTTGCCCGTGCTTGCCCGTGCTTGCCCGAAAAAAAACACTTGCTCTGGTTTGATTGGTTCTGGTAGTTTATTACTTATTAACTTACCTCTTAACAGGCGGCATTGGTGTAGCTTACGCCTTTGGGACAGTTGTCGAAGTCCTATTGGCTGGTTTGACTGATTGTACACTCACGATTTAGCGGACTATTTCGTTTGCGCTCCACATGCCCAAAAGTTTTGTAGTGCAAGCAAACAGTGGGTTGACAGGGAATGCAAAACCGTTCCCGTCACCCCAACATTCCCCCTCCCGCGGTCCCCTTCCCGCGCAATCTGTTCCCACCTCCCTCTTTTGCCATGGTCGCCACCGATCGAGGTTCTTCGCGCCGCTCCCCGCGCATTTCGAAGATTAATACACGAACATTTAAGCAACCCCCGACGCCCTCCTCACTAGCTCCGACAACAAAACCACACATCCTCCCATTTTCGGGCGCCCCTCCACCTTCTGAAGCCGTATCGGGGGGCCGTATTCCCCTGTCCCTTTCCGAATCAGAGACTGATCCTTTGAATCGTCGATGTGGAGGGGCGCCTCCATCCAGCCCGGCTCGCTGGAAGAGGAGGGCACGACGGGAAAACTTAACGACGACCATGAATTGGGGGATCCAACGGCAGAAGTGACAGAGATGTCAAAAGTCTACACTTATCTCTGCCAACAAAAGAAAGGGAAGTTGAGGGAAGTGTGCTCTTTTTGGAATTTAAAATTGGGAGGGAACAAGTTGGCGCTGATATTTCGTTGCTTAATACTGCTGTGGTACTATGAAAAGAAGGGAGCAGATGTGCTCGTGAAGTTTGAATCAAACCATAACTGTGAAGATTTGGGGTCTTTTGTGGACAGTTTTGCGGAAAGTGGAGAACATTGGATAGAGGCACCCTGCTTTTCGACGGCAAAGGCGTATTTTTGCAAGATAGGGCACAAATTCGACAAGCACGACCGGCCGATTAATAACGCAAATAGAAAAGATCCTATGGCATGCATAGAAGATCTAGAAGGATGCGAAGCAGAACGCCATAAGCCAAACTTTTCACTTTCTGAATTTGCTCGGTTGGTTGTTTTGATGAGAGACGATGAAGTGGCGCGCAGCATGCTTTTTAGGTTAGGTCAGGAATTGAGAAGGGCAGAATTGGACGGGGGTACAACGAGGGACAGCTTTTGGGGGAAGATAGAAGAAAGGTTTACCGATGATTCGGTTTGTTTTCGCTTTTCTCTTCAAGGCCACGTCGATGAAGCTGACCCCTGCGCATCTCCCCTCTGTTTTCGCTGCGCTGATGTGTTGAAAGACCACTTTCGGGACGCGAAAGCGCTTTTCACGACAGCGTTGAGCAAGTGGTCGCGCTCTGGTCAAAACGACCCGGAGCGCTTTGTTAATTTTCTCCCACGAAATGGTCAAAATTTATATTCTGCCTGTAAACGTGCTTTGATTTGTTTGTTGTTGCTAGGATGGGAACGCCACACCAAGACACCTATTTTGTGGAAATGACGTCGAAAACAATATTGGATGGGGGTTACGAGTGTGGAGTTAGGGGAATATATAGGCAATTTTATGACAGCGGGGGAAGGGACAGTGGGGGTCCAGATGATAGTATCAGAGCTGTAGCAGATACTAGAAAGAAGAGGAGGAGCAGTGTAGATGTGATAGACATTATGGAGAAGCACGTGGAATCGATTGGAAAGGTGGTGTCGTCGCTTTCAGGCCCGGCTACGAGTGCGGCCAATAATTCAACTCCAGTTAATGCAGCGACTGCTCGCATTGATTCGTGAGAAGAAAACAGTTCGATGTTTGCGATTGTCGAGGCCTCATTAATGGCGTTGGAAAGGGCAAAGAAGTTGGCCGTCGGGGATGAGTCCAAAACACCGTTTGTTGAGGTGGCAAAGGAGCGCTACGAAAAGGCTCTCTCTTCATATCGCGAGATGAGCAGAAATATGTTCGCAAATTTGTAGAAGGAAGGGGATGGGTCCAGCATGAACTGCAGCTTCGAGCACAGGTGCCACTCGCTGCGCCCGGGGTCTGGGCACGTGCACGCCACCGGCCTGTATATCTGGCAGTTGCACGTACGGCAGTATCCCGGCCACAGGTCGTATGTGTAGATCCCGTGAGCTGTCCCTGAGAGGAGCGCGTATTTGTGCTCTATTATCACGTCATCCCTCGTGTGGTTGAACCTTTGCGTCAGTGCCGTGAGAGGTGCCAGCGCAAACGAGGAGAAGCGAGTGGTCACCGTCGAATGTTAATTTCAAGAGTATGGGAGTGCTTCTGTCAGCCCACCGTTGGTGGACGTTTCTTAGAGGGAAGTCTTCTTCTACCCGGTTGACGGCATCTAGTTCTCTACTTCGCATGCGTAAACAAAAGTTTACGGCAAAAATCGAGTACATGCCTCAACTAATTCACGTCATCATCTTCAATGACTGCTGTCCGACAGACCTCTTGCGTTTGTCGGGATATTATCACCTGCGGCTGCATCGCACTTGCCCTCACACCATCCACTGTACTCGTATTGCACTCCTCTCCGGTGCAATCGGAAGTCGAAGCTTCTTTAACAGTCGCCTGTCGCTCAACAACAGGCTTACTACCCGATTTATAGCAGTCTCCCGAGCTATCACATTCAGGGCTTGGCTTCGCGGTGTGAACAGATATCCCACCACCTGCTGACTGTCTTTTCTTGCTCGGGCTCGGACTAGACGATGGCGAAATACGGGGACTCAGAGATGAACTTGTGGTGGGTGTCATTGAGGGACTTCTCGAAGGGCGCCGTGAATTGGAGGGAGTAGGTGTTACTGAAGCTCGGGGGGACATTGAGGGCGGTTTCGACGGCGTTGGAGTCATGGATAATGTCGGACGATTCGAGTTGGATGGTGACGCCGAAGCAGATGGTAGTACAAAAGGCAAGCTAGAGGGGGATGGTGTTGTTGAAGATGTTTTAGATGGCCTGGGGGTTGGAGGATTTCTTGATGGAGTGCGGGTCGGTGGTTCCTCGGATGGGGGAGTAGTCGGTGGCTCCTTGGGGGTCGGTGGTATCTTGGGAGCGCTCCTCGCAATTTTTGTTTCTTTCTGCACTCTCTCAGGCTTGCACTCTGCGAGAGTGTTGAATACGACATGTACCAGGCGATACCGTTGCACATTTCCGTTTGAATCTGTGAAGACGACGCACCTAGGCCTCCATAGAAAGATTACATTATCATTTCGTAATTACAACTTTATTCGGTATAGGCAAGTCGGCAGTCCCTCCCTCGCCGCTATCCCATACTTTACCGTCTGCACTATTCATTTCAACCACGCTCGCCGCTGGTGCAATGGCCACCTTCCCTATCGGCCACCACCGCTGAGCTCGACCTCACCGCCCCGGCCGACGGCGTCCCGCACGAGAACGCCCTGCAAGTCGGCGAGCACCATCGCCTCCCGCTCATGCCCTCCTTCACCACAGGCCTCATCACCGTCGGCTTCGCCGTCAACGAGAAAATCGCCTCCTCCTCCACCGTCGTCTGCAACGACAAGTACAGCGGCCGCCTCGCCCGCGACGACGCCACGGGCACCTGCCTGTTCATCTCGGAGAACTTCAACGAGCACATCACAGAGGTCTCCTTCTGCAGGCTGCTATCTGCCGCCCACCGCGAGCACATCTTCTCGCTCTTCCAGGCAAAGGCCTTCCACCGCATCATCAGCCGCATGCGCGAACGCTTCAACACCTCAGCCCTGCTGCGCCACATGGTCTACCACTACGTCGCCACCGAGGCCCGCCCGTGCGTGCACTGCGGTGCGGAGACCGCCCACGCCCTGGCCAAGTGCAACTGCAAGGTCGTCATGCCCGGGAAGCTGCACCCGCTGGACACGGACGCCGAGTACAAGAGCCTGCAGTGCTACACAGGCGCGTACTGTGGCGTCGCCACCGTCTCCTTCTCCAAGGCCGGCGCCAGCGTGTTCACGGCAAACGTCAATACCAACAGCGCCACCACCATCACGGCAGACCCCGACGTGCAGAGTCGCCTGGCCATCTGGGCACTGTGTTCCGCCGTCAAGGACTCCTCGATCAGCCCGCTGGCCTTCACCACGGGATCTGGCGCAAGCGGGGGGGAGAAGGTCGTTTCCGTACTGGACCCGTTCCTGCTCGCCTCCATTGCCGACTCCGTCCTGTCCGAGGGCGCAAAGCGTGTTAACATGTCGCCAGACTCCGAGCCTACCAGCTTCCGCTTGCTACAGAACGACCCCGACTCTAACCTGGATCCCGACCAGATGCCCTCGCCGGACAACGCCACCGCCCCGACTTTGTCGCTGTCAGAGAGCGGCGAGCCCGACTTCCTCGCGTCCCCGCTCTTATCGCAGAAGGACCCTATGATCCCGCAGACCCACGATTCAGGACCGCACGCCGTCACGACAGACTCGTATCCATTCCCGCCAAAGCAGCAGTTTCCGCCAGACCCGGTCGCATTGACCCAGATTCCCCAGGTCTTGCAGTACATGTCGCAACCGCCACATCCACCTCTTCCTGCCACACTCCTCCCCTCTTCTCTGCATCAAACACCAAGGCGCTACGCCCCAGGCCATGACCCAGCCGCGGAAGCGCGGTTGGAGAGAGGCGGCGTGAGCGCAAAGCTTGACCATTCAGGGAGTACGATACTATCGGGCAACTCTATGGACCAAGGTATGGGGAATGCTATCGCGGATACGTCTGTCGAACGGCAGTCAGAGCCGGTTCCGCTGGCCCCAATGCCTTTGATGCAACCTATGGCTCGTTTTATTCTCCCTTCACAGTCGCCGGCAGCCGCAGCGATGTGAGGAGGCGTGAGCAAGATTTTTGGGGACGACTTGGATGAGCGAAGAAAAAAGGCTGAACTCAGAAAAGCCCGGAATAGGGAAAGTGCGCAGCGCAGCAATCAAAAGCGCAAATTGCGGATGCAGGCCCGCAAAGCCGACATTGCAGAGGCTATGAGGATTGAAAAGAACCTCAGAGCGACGGAAAAGAGGCTCCGGGAAGAATCGATCCCTGCGTTTAACGGCTTCGAACTAGCAAGTCGCAGGTTGAGAGCTTTCCGCAACTCCGCAACGACTGAGTCGCAAGTGTCGAAAAGCTCGACATCAAAATCGTATGTGACGATCTCACGGTTGACAAGAATTCTCGACACTTGGTACTGAAAATATTGTGGAATACGAGCGACAGGGGAGACTTCTAGACTTGTTCTCAGAACAAGCAAGAGGTCTGCTCTAAGGGCGTCTGTTTCCAAGTTGTCACGAACATTCTTTGGCACGTTTTCGCCAAAGAAAACAATGTCGGGTTTGAGGACGCTCACGGAACAAGCGTCCATACCGTCGTCGTCGTCTGAATCGTCTCTCTTCATAGAAGACGATCGTTTCTTGCCATGGACGCATTTCCAACAGAAAGGCACAGTTCCCGCAGCGACTTCGACTGCAATCTCGGAGCCGCAAAAGCTAGCGCGGCACGAGGCGCGCATGCAGGTGGCAGTGAGAAACGAGCCGTGGAAAAGGATGACGCGCTCCTCCGACGCGCCCGCACGGCGCTCGAGCCCATCAATATTCTGGGAATAATTGCGGAGCAATTTTCTACGTGCTTCCAGTTCGGCGATGAAATGAAACGATGCGTGGGCGATGGACGGAGGTCGCGGGCCGGAGCAAACCAAGTCCTCCAGATCGTCGTCGTCAATTGTGAGAATCGCTTGCCACAGGCGGGCGACGGTGCGCAAGTCAGTGCCCAAGCCTGGCGAGTCGGCCAGGGCGGCGAAGAAGGGGGTGGCCATGTCGATGCCGCCACAAAGGAGACCGCATCGGAATTCAAAGCTCTTCACGCAAAGAAAAATGTCCCGCCACCACCCCTCACTTCCAGGCAAGAAGTGAGGCAACTGAAAAAAAACCAAAGCATAAACGAAAACGAAATTTAGCTAGGCGAATTGCATGAAGTATTCCGGGACTGGAAGCTCCCCAGCCACAGATCTGACAAACCGCCCATCTCCAATGATAGAAACCAAAAGATTCCTCTTCTGCGTAGCATCCGTATTGTCGCTAGCCTACACTCGCCCAGCCAGATCGACATATGCATGCTTCCTCTCGCTGTACCATTCCCTCGTTTCAGTCATCATGTTGTGCTCCTGAAGCACCCTTTTCTGATTGATAGACGCTCTACTAACTATCTTTTGCCCATGCTCTACGCAAAAGTATGCAGTTTCATCGCCAAAACAATGACTTTCGCAGAATCCGCAACAGAGAATTCAAGCATCTTCAAAATCTTGAATTTCTTGACTAAAATGCCGAACGCTTGCTCCACGTGCATGCGCAATGAAGAATGATAAAAGTTAAACGCATCTTCTGTATCTATAGCAATCGAGCCAGGAATGGGAACACTTAAATGGTTAGAACAAACATACGCTTCGTCGCCCGCGATCCAAAATGGCACCATCAGATTCCCTTCATCCAAATATCTTCCCAAAGCGGACACGGCGTGAGCAAGAGAGTCGTGCTTAGAACCCCTGCATATCGCTGAACAATCTAGGAAGCGATAGTTTGAGTCCACAACCGCTTGCACCGGGAGAGCATAGAAACCTTTCCTGCAGTAGTACGTGGCAGGGTGCTCATGCGTTGCTGGCTTCCTGATTTTGATCTCTATTCCGTCTAATGCACCAACACAGCCGGGCAAAGGGTTAGGGGGGGAACGGGAAGTTTGGAAATCGCCTGAAACCTTCCTCAAACCATTAAAATCTTCAGGAAGTCCAGGTAGCCTCAGAGCTTCGTTCAGTACATCGCGCGTCTCTTTGAAAACTTGATACACTGTACTTCTACCGACTTCAAAATGTGCCATACATCCGTATACGGACTCACCAGCCATAATGCGAAGAAGGATTCCAAGACGAGCATCAGGTGATACGGTCTCCCGTCCAGCACGCTTTTCCATCTCCTCGTTTTTGAGTAAACGATTATTAACCAGTTGTAACAGCTTATGAATAGTTTCCCTCCCCATCTGATAGGCCAGCAAATCGCTGAACATGCGATTTGCTCTAGAAAATTCCAATAACGACGCATGCCTTTTGGTTTCATCAGCAGGCGGGGCCTCGGAAATTCGGATATTGCGTAATGTAGACCCAAAGTGGAGAGAAGAAGTGATGTCGCCAGCATTGCTTTAAGAGCGAGGCCGCGGCGACGGCGGTCGGGGGAATCATTGTGGCTTGGGTGTCGCATGCTGATCGGGGAGCGGTAGAGTCGGTGAAGTGTTAGAATAAATCAGTCAGTAAAGGAAGGCGTGAGAGGCGTTGTTAGTGAGGAAGGTTCGCAGAATAAATGCAAGAGTGGATAAGGTTTGGGTAAGGCGGTGTGCAGTATGCCATTAACTGCTATTGAAAGCTCTCTTCTTGCGCAAGAAAATGCTTGCATCATTACGAAGGCGGCGGTGGTGTGAATTCGGAGCATTTGTGCAGGTGCAGACACAGAAAGATCGAAAGAGCTGCTCGGGAGCAGAAGATCACCAAAGCGAGGGCAAGACCGCGGACCACGTTGACGGGCTCGTACACATTGGAATGCCGCGATGTATACTGTAACCCTAGATTTATGGCTGACAAATACTGTCAGAGCTGCAGAGAGAGTGTGTGTAAGCAGTTTGTACAGCTGCCCACGTGTGCAAAATGTTTTTTTAATTTCTTCAAGAAAAACAGGCAAGCACCGGCAAGCACGGGCAAACAAGCGCTTGTTAAGACACACCCTGATTCCCCGGGGGTATCCGCTACCCATTCTCCTTTTGCCGGCCAATCCTCTGGAGGACCATCTCGAGACGATCTTTCCCCGTCCGCGAAATCCCCAACGTTTGCCTCCCTCTTCCCCTGTTATCCTTCGCCGCTACGCGCGACCGCATTCCAGCAGTGCTACTAACATCCTCGTGCACTCCCGCTTACCATAATTACCCTTCCAGATTCTCAAGAACAGGCCGTTGCCATGCTAGCGATAGTCGTGCAAGTTCCTTCGTCCTTCCTCGTTGCCCTGCGATGCAGAATTCCGCCAAAATTCAAACTCCTGCAGCCCCACGGCGTCCCACCGCTCGTAAAACTGTCTTCTACAGCACTGACATCATGACTTTGACCATAAGTATTCGTGCGTCATGGGACTCTACATGTGCATGCAGAGTGCAATCGAAAAAAATAGGCAGGAACGCGACGCATTCATGAAAAAGCAGCGGGAACCAGCCACCACACTCCTTCGTATAGGTACTAAACGGTCTGTCGTCGTGAAAGCGACAAATGTACCTCGCCCAATAGTACATCGGATTTATCACGCCCTCGAAGAGCGTGATGAATCCAAACTCAACGCCCTTTTCTCGCCAGAAGCTCACCCCAGAGGACGCCGCACAGTTCTTACTGAACAAGAGTCAGCCTTGATAAAGAAAAGGATTGTATACGCGGCAGAAAAGGGTTTTGCACTCTCAAACGGTGATGTGAGAAATATGATGACTCAGATAGCGTCTGACGAACGTCCAGGATTTCGCACAGAATTTGGCAGTCCGTCTCAAGACACCATCCGCCATTGGCGTGCTGTGAATAGAGACATCACTTATCGACAAAGTGAGAACAAAGACGTCGCAAAGTAGGCCGCTGAATATTTCACCCATGTGTCAACCTTTTCAAATGCGTTGAAAGAAGCCCAACATGCTAATCCTGGTATATTCAACGACGCCTCCCGCCTTTGGAACCTCGACGAGACAGCTGTGGAATGTCAATAGGGGGTAAGAACTAAAGTATTTGGGTCCTCACGCACCAATCACGGTGGGTATTTGGCTTGGTAAGAAAACACAACAAGCAAATAACGATTGTGGTGGCCGCCTCGGCATCTGGTCGCAAAATTCCTCCCTTTTTCATTGTAGAAGAAAAAATGTAATGAGCGGATGGGTCTCTCCCCTCAAACAGACCGAAAGAATATGCCCTTCCGTGCAAACTAGTAGGTTGTCTCAAAAAATGTGGTTTGAGAAGGGAACCGTAATAATGACAACAGACAGGGGAAGTATGGAAAAGAGACTCATTTCCTTTGTGATAGAGCATGTGGATACATTTGTGAGGAAGACCCTACCCCTGGAGCGTTCCTACAGTGTGACTCTTGACAGTCACTCCTCACGAGAAGGTTTCGAGTGGCTTGAGTTGTGCAAGCAAAAAAAGTGCGAAGTCGTTCAGTCTCCCTCAAACACGACTCACTTCTTGCAACCCTGCGACCAGGACATAAACAGTGCATTCAAAAAAGGGATGCGCAAATACCGGGACCTGCTTCATAAACAAACAACGCTCGACATGCGAAGTGTGCGTGCAAATCTGATGGTGGCGATGTTGGCCTACAGTGGAATCACGGTAGATAAGATTAAGTTAAGCTTCGAAAAGTCGGGGTTATGGCCGATGGACTACTCTTTTCTTAACAGGTTTAAGAGACCAGCACCAGATGCGGTCACATGTGACCCAAAAAGTGGCAAAGTCACTTCCCTAAATGTCACAAATAGAACCCGGGACCCCGACAACCAGACTTTTCGTCAGCTCAAAAAACGTTGGAGGCTGCCAAAGACGCCACAACGGGACTCAGGGTTGTGGAAATGCTTTTGCGCAAAAGCAGAAGTGTGAATAAAATCGTTATGATAAGCACGCGTTTCTCGAACATAAAAAGTTCGAACGCAGGGCGCGAGAAAAGTGTGGAGTTACAAAAAGGTACACCTGCTCTGTACTTGACTTTGGACGATATAATCGAAAGCAGAAAAGAGAGCATCTCAAAGCTGAGAAGAAGGAAAAGGGGGACTGCAGTCGAGCCCAGATGCCATTCTCGAAGGAAAATCGCCGTACAAAGTCAGCAGCTGAACCAAAATCCCCAGCCCCGCTGTCTCCCCCACAGCCTGAACGTTCTTCTCCGACTTCTGGGGCGAGATTCGGAGCGGCAATGAGTAGTACACTCTCGACGCAAGCGTTCAGTAAGAATTTGAGGGTGAAGAGGAAGTTGTGGAATCTCTGTTATCGCTTTCCAGTCCTGCACTAATACTAATTTCCGTGTCTGTCTGTCTGTCTGTGTGTGTGTGCGTTCCCGCGTTGCCATTGGCGCACAGGGGCGCTGCCGTGACAAGTGGCGGCCACGGGCGGGACCTGGCCGCAGGCCAGGTCTGCCACGGGGACACGTGGTGGCTTTAGGCACGATCGTAGCACTACAGTACAGTACAAGTACAGTACAAATTTAAATTTTGAATGCTACACTACAGTACAGAAAAATAAAAAATACAGTCTCGATCCGCTTTGCGTTCGCTACCGATCCCCGCGCACACCGTCTACGCGAAGTGCGTAAGTTAATAACTGTCCTCATTGCTCCGGTCAGCTTGCTGCCCGCGGCATTTGAGCGCACGCGAACGCTTACTGACTATATACGGTGTGTTTCTTTTTCTGCGAAGTGTCTACTCAAAAAGAACGTCAAGAATTGCGGGTCGCGCGCCGCGCCGCTACCCCGATCCGTCTGAACTTTTCCGAGTCCCCCACCGCGTCGACACGTGTCAACGTAGCTCATCCAGCCCCGCCCTGTGCGCCCCGCCCCACGTGTCCACGTCCCCCAGATTGCCCCGGCGCCAGCCCCACGTGTACCGGGCGCCCCTCTCCCACGTGTACCACGTCTTCCGCCGGCCCCTGCGCCAGCACCCGCACCACGTGTACCGCGCGCAACGGTCCCACGTTTTACACGTTTACCTCCGCCTGTCATTCCTACGTTTCGTGGGCTACGTGTGCCACGTGCGATCGAGCGGCCGCGT